GCTGCAGGTTCCAAAATGTGCGACTGCTGCTCTTTCGGGCCTCGCGCCGAGACCGACGCGGACCAGTTCGTGATAGATAAGGTAACAGCAGCGGCAGCAGCAGCAGCAGCAACAGCAACAGCAGCAGCAGCAGCAGCAGAAAGGGAGTGGTAGATTAAAGGAGCTGTTTAGAGCCTTAGCTGCTTTAAAGATAGGTTGTTTCTTTTGTAGCTGCTGCTGCTGCTGCTGCTTCTCCTGGCTTTTAGATAGTCACAAAGATATATTAGTGTCTTATAAATACGTATAAATAAAAAACTAAATATACATAATTGAGTATATATATAAATATATATGTAAATAGATATATAAATGGACATATATACATATATATAAATACATATATATATATATATATATTATTTACATTAATTGTATATATGTGTATATGGCCAAATAAAAATATTTATTGATGGCTCACATCTCGATAAATAGTTTTGAATAATTATTTTCATCTTTATTTAAATCAACAATTAATTTATAGATTTGTGTTTGTTGTAACATAACATATTTAATTACATTTTTATTTATATGTATTTTTATTTTTATTCTAAATTTTCATTTATATATATATTTCAATTAAAGTCTTTATACTTTTAGACCATCATTACATTTACGTAAATTGGCATTTATTTATTTATTTATTTATTTGAAATAAAAGTGCATTTACATTAAATTCAAGGTTACACAATTAGTTATACTTGCATTGCATTTAAAAACAACAAAAGTGAACTTAAATGTAAATTTAAATTGCATTTGAAAAACACTTTTGTGTTAAATTTGAAAAACCAAAAGTGCTTTTATGTTGCACGTAAAATGATTTTTAAAATAGCAATTATATATAAAGATACACAAGTGCATGTGTATTACATTTAAAGCCATAAAGGCACTTTTAGGGTTTGGAGGTATTGGGGTTTACAGTTTTCTAGGGTTTGGGGTTTTGTAGGGTTTAGGGTTTTCTAGGGTTTAGGGCATGGCCTAGTGCTTTCAAAGGTCTTGGGTCTAGGGTTTCCTAGGGCCCAGGCTTTTCCAGGGCTTAATTGCTTTCTAGGGTTTAGGGTTTAGGGTTTAGGGTTTAGGGTTTAGGGTTTAGGGTTTCCTAGGGCCCAGGGTTTCCTAGGTTCTAGGGTTTCCTCGGGCGCAGAGTTTCCCAGTGCCTAGTGCTTTCCAGGGTTTAGGGTTTAGGGTTTAGGGTTTTCCAGGGTTTCGGGTTTCCTAGAACATAGCGTTCAGGGTTTCCCAGAACATAGGGTTCAGGCTTCCCAGAACTTGTTGTTTAGGGTTTCCGAGGGTGTAGGGTTTAGGGATTTCGCGGGTTTAGGCTTTAGGGTTTGCGAGAAGCCAGGGTTCAAGGCTTTGGATAACTAAGTGT